GATATACGAGTTGAAAACGTCCATGTCGTGTCGGTCAAGCCCTCAAACCGATATGTCGGCCGACATGTCGGACATGTCGGGCGATATTTAAAACCTTGTTACTAGCCTTTGCTGCTATCCATAAGCTGATCATACATCAGATGGATGTCAAGACTGCTTTCCTGAATGGTGATTTAGATGAAGGGATCTATATGCATCAACCTGAAGGATTCATTGCCAAGTGTTAGGAAAATAAAGTCTGTAAACTTGTTAAATCTTTGTATGGTCTTAAACAAGCTCCTAAACAATGACACTAGAAAATTAACAAAGTCATTACGCAATATGGTTTCACTGTGAATAAACACGATAAGTGTGTTTATACTAAAGTAATAAATAATGACTATGTCATCCTCTGTCTCTATGTTGATGATATCCTCATCTTTGGAACAACTCTTGAATTAATCCTAAAGGTTAAGGATTATCTATTCAAGAATTTTGACGTGAAAGACTTAGGTCTTGCTGATATGATACTTGGAATAAAAATCACTAGAGACACTAGATGAATATATTTGAGTCTTTCTCACAGTATTGAGAAAATATTGATCAAATTCAACTTTCATAACTCTAAACCTGTTTCCACACCTTATGATTCATTAATATCCTTGAAGAAGAATAAAGATGAACTTGTCTCTCAACTGAAGTATTATCAGCTTATTAGATCTCTTATACATATTCAACCGGACCAGACCCGATATAGCTTATGTTGTTGGAAGACTGAGCCGGTATACTAGCAACCCTAGCCAAGATCACTGATCTGCCTTAGAAAGAGTATTCAAATACCTGAAAGGCAACGTTGACTATTGCTTGACTTACACTGGTTACCCTGATGCTATAGAAGGGTATATTGACGCCAATTGGGTCACAGATTCTAACAGTATAAAGTCAATATCTAGATATGTATTTTTTTTGGTAGTGCAGCTGTATCCTGGAAATCCTGTAAGCAAATAGTGATTGCCAGGAGTACCATGGAGTCTGAATTGATTGCTCTTGATACCACTTGCACAGAAGCAGAATGGTTAAAAGATCTTCTCTCTGAACTTCCTTTGGTGCCTAAACCCTCTCCTCCTATTTCAATTCACTCTGATTCTAGATCCACCATAGAGCTTCTAAAACAAGTGCATGTAAATAAAAAACTTAACATACATATTCAAATAAGATATAAATCTGTACAACGCCTGTTAGACAAAGTTGTGATTTTGGACTTTGTAAAGTCTAAGAAGAATCTTGCTGACCCTTTGACTAAGTGATTATTCAAGAGTGTGGTTCTGGATTCATCGAGGGGGATGGGGTTAAGCCCATAGATGAGGTCACTGATAACGGTAACCCAACCCTTATTTGGAGACGTAGTCCCAATTTGGTTCAATATGGTAGAAACAAACTGGACAAGTGATACTCGTGTGGAGCATCGACCTAGATATATTTATATATCATTATGTAGCATCTGCTACTACCTCTTCTCTATGATGACGATGTTCTTATAGTACAGCTGGTTAGGCTGAGTTTTACTCTTAATAAGTCCAACGCGTGTATTACGAAGGGTATGATATCCAGCTGTAGTATCCTTGGAGGACTTACCTACGTGAGAGAAACCGTGATGATGGCGGTTGGAGGGGGGGGTTGGGCTAATCCCTAGAAACTCTCATGAGTCGGTTATTGTGAGCATGACCTTTCATACTCAACCCGCTTTGTTCAATAGATGATGACGTATTGTGTGTGTTTTTATCAATACCTGGTTCAAGGGGCCTAATTCAAAGCCTAGTCCATTATGTCTCTCAAGTGACGATGAACTCACTAAGGAAATGTTCAAAGTCGAAAGCTACCTCGTCCGAATTCACGATACGAAAGGTTGCCCAACTTATATCTTTTTTATGATTTATTGATTTATTTATTGATTTTGAGTTTTCAGTCAATATTACCTTTTGGGGGGGACTGTTGGATATTTGTTCATGAAAAGGCAATTTTGCCTTTGTGAATAGTCCCACATTGGAAGATGAGATGAATAGTAAGAGGCTTATAATGCTTTACATCATATTGGGCTTTGAGTAAGTGTTTTGAGTCTTGTATTGTTTGGGCTATTGCTATCACACACGTGCGAGCGTGCGCACGCTTCGTCACGACGCGCGCGCCACGCCACGCCGCACCGCACACGCACACATTTTTGTTTCTCAGAATTTTTATTTTTTATCGTTTTCTTCCGCTTGACCTGTTCATAACGAATGCGGAGATGGCACAAGGAGTTATGCGGATCCGGCGTAACGTGCAGGTTTGGAGCAACGGATCTCTGGCTTCAGAGTCCTATAAATACATGCATTCTTCTCCTCGTTTTATACAGAAACAGAAAGAACTTCTCTCCTAGCTTCTTCTTTTTACAGTTTTGACTATTGTGTTATTTTCTTTGGGGCAACTTTCTTCATCTGAGCTTAAGCTCTGCTGCTCTCGCCCGAGTACAGAGGCCGATTGAACCGGAGTTTTTTACCGCTAGGGGAGAGAGGATTGACTGCGTCAGGGCGATAGGCGGATCCTCAATCTTCTAGGACAGTGAAATCACAACTGCTCCCATTCAGGCCTGATTTTTTAACTTTTTATTTCAGATTTTATACTAATTTTTATCTCTTTTGACATCAGTTTATTGTGTCAATCAAGTTTCCCCGTATGTTCTTCCACTGATCATGAAACCCTTGAACTATGGTCTTTTTCATCATTCCCATCAAGGGACCTGTTCGTCCTTTTTCGTTGTTAATTGCAGATAGTTACAGAAACGAAACAGAGGAAAAACAATTCCTATCGTGTCTAATATTACTCCGCACAAATTCCCGAGGCACCTTTCTAGAGGGAAGACAAACATGCCACCAACATCAATTTTAATACACATTCAAGGATCACTAGTATGACATGTACAAATCTTCTGTGTGGGAAATTTTTGTATGGGGAAATTTGTCTCAAGCCGAGCGCAACCCTTCTATTAAAAGGGAAATGTTTCATAAATTAGCAAATATTCTTCTTCTTTTTTTTTGAAGGGGAGAGGGGTGGGGTTAAATCTGCATATATGGTAGATGCGGAGGTTATATAAGTAAAAAACTCGTTCATTTAACATGTGTTGAACTGATAATACTGTACAAACATGCACCACAAAATGGATAAGTTTTTTTCCTATATGCCTCAAAGTTATAAGTTTTTTAAGTTTTACCTGCATGTTATTATAATGCTTATTTGCCCCCAATTTTCACCGTAACCTAATTGTTAAAGATTCCTATGAGACCTCATCCCCAAAATACTTTTTATTGTACCATATGCAGTATGGTAGGTGTATTTTCAAATTGGAATTCAAGTCAAGAGGAGATTTTTTTTCTTAGTAACTGGAACTTTGATGTTTTTTCTGGACATGATTTCTAGAGATTTAGTCTTTTGGCTTTCACACAGTTACTCACATGATTTTTACAAAACCAATGATGATTTTCTTAAAATTTTCTGATTAAGTGTAAAAAACACAACAGACTCTTGGAACGAATCGTTAGGACCGCTGACACATAGAGCGACCCCTGGAACGAGAATCGCCACCAACTGTTGCTTATAAAACTCCAATGTCAATGGTAATGTTCTGGTTGGTATCTAACAATCATGCAGGTGATGTAATTGTTCAGACATGGTAAATGATTAAGAAACATGGTGTTTACCATCTAATAATGTGAATTTTATGTGCCAAATAGACTAGTATGTAACGGATGAGAATTGTACAAATTAAAAATTTGAGAACTGATGGTGTTCATACATGGGGCTAGACCTTGAGATATGATAGGTGATAGTGTCACTATATGAGACTGGGCATGATACGAGCCATAACATGAGGATGTCAAGCGTGTCTTCGTGACATGGAATTAGGTAAAAATGGAAATAAAATGGGTCATGTAATGAATGAACCGGAATGGAACGTGAAGCCATGTGGGTGACCAGTTTGGTTAAAAAAAAGAAAAATAGTTAAAAGTTAATGATTTTATGCTGGGTAAGGAGTAAGAACAACCAATATTACAGAAGGCGCCAGGCGGACTAGGTGTTTGAGCCAGCGCCTAGTGCCTAGACGTATAGGCGGCACCTAGGTGTTTATCTATTTTTTAAATTATTTAATTATAATAAGTGATAAAAATATGTATTAAATTCATATAAATTTGCAAAAAAAGAAAAAAAGGAAAAGATAACAATTTTAGATCCACAATAAACCATGCATACGTAAATACTAAATAGCCAAAGTGATAACTAACAAGGTTATAAAAAGCGCTAGGAGGCCTAGGCATTGGACCCCACGCCTAGAGTCCAAGAAGTTATTTATTTATTTTTTAATTATAATAATTGATAGTAAATGTCAATGTTATAGAAAACTTAGGTGCTGGACTGGTATCTAGGCTGATTTCTTTTTTCATTTAAGTGGTGGTAGAGGAGGTTTTGCTGAAGGTCAGAAGAGGCAGTTGCGGTGTTCATATTTGGAGGTTAAAAGAGTTTGAAGAAGGTTCGAGGACATCTACAATATAGAAAATGATAATCAATGCCTAAAGGGTGCAGTCCATGTAAGTAGATAATGCTCCACTAAACACTCTGAAAATCTAGGTGGGCAGCTTAGGTACTGCCCAGGTGTTAGGTGCTAATTAGCGGCATAGGTACTGCCTATGCTTAGGCGGACTAGTTGGAGGCTTTTTAAAACAGTGAGAACAACACCAGTTTGTTACAGCCCCTTCCTTAACTTAAATAGCATTTTATAAGCATTTTTGATTAGTAGTAATATTTATGTATTGCATTGTTCAGGCTATTATTCCCTTATTCTCTCCAATTGTTTTCTCTTCCTCCTATTACTTCATGCAACAGCATACTCTCTCATCTTTAATATTTAACACCATCTGAGTCTGACTTCATGTTTTTCTTGCATATATTCAAATGTATTGTTCTTTATTAAGTGTGCTACTTGATTACAGGCCAGTGCCAGAAATTTAAGGATTCAGAAGCAAAGGAAAAGGTTATTGATATTGCTGGCCTTCTTGGCAGATCAACTGGTTAGTGAAGTACTCTCAGGTCTTGTTGACAGATGCCCTCTGAATGTGGCCAATGCTTGAATCATATGATCAAACATTATTTGATTGTGATAAAATTTTGTGTAGCGTGTGGTACTTCTTTGAGGGTAAAACTAGATGTTAATCTCTGAGATGGGAAGCTGAACTATTCCCACATCTTTGTTAATCTTGACAGTTTCTTTTCTCGAGCTTATTTTGTCTTGTCTTCTCTAATGACAGGTTTAGTTGTAATTGACTGCTCTGCCAGTTCTGAAACTATTCAAACACTAAAACAGGTTGTTGATCATGGTTGTTGCATTGTGCTGGCAAACAAGAAGCCCCTTACATGTTCAATTGTAATTCTCTTCCTGATTCTTACATTAATTGGATGGCAATAATTTAACTTGAAAGTTAGATTGTTGGTTATTTTTTTCTTTATTGAATGTCCTTTCCTGTATTTTATAAGTTTACATGCTACTACTAACGTCGACGCCAATTTCTTTATTTGCAGGAAGATCATGAAAAGCTCATGTCAGAATTTCGCCGTATTAGATTTGAGTCAACTGTACGTCCCATTGTTCAGGAATCTGGTTCTGCTTTAATTTATTACTGGCTTATCTAACTTTATTGGCTCTTGTTCTTGCATCAGAAACATGTTTCCAAAGTAAACATGTGCTTTTCATATTTCACTTTTCTTTATCCTCGTGAAGAGGTTTGCTCATGGCATACTCTTTTTGTGCTATTCTAGTGCTGATTTCTGGTATTTGTGCACATTTCTTATTGTTCAGATACGTACATTTTCCTTTGTATCTTTTCCTAGTTTTCAATACTTTGGTTCGCTAGAAAACCACTCTACTTTGGATTTTTTTTGGTAGTATAGAGTAATGAAGCAAGCAATAAATTAGAAAAAAACCGAAAACATGCATTTCAACATATTAATAGTGACTTGTTTACTTTGACAGCACATTTCTTTACAATAGTTTTAATGCGAAAATTATACTAAATTTTTTATTGTTCTAGGTTGGGGCTGGTCTTCCTGTAATTGCTTCTGTAACACGTGTTCTTGCATCAGGAGACCCCATTTATCGTATTGTTGGGGGTTTGAGTGGTGTGTATTTACAACCCACTCTATTTAATAGCTGCATTTTGGAAAATACTGTTAGTAGCTTGATTCTTATAGTTTATCTGTATTTTGTATTTTGTGTAGCTTGGTTCTTATAGTTTATCTGTATTTTGTATTTTGTGTAGCTTGGTTCTTATAGTTTATCTGTATTTTGTATTTTGTTTTTCTCTTCTTCCTTTAAGTAACAGGTACCCTAGGTTATGTTTTCTCTTCTTCCTTTAAATTACAGGCACCCTAGGTTATGTTATGAGTGAAGTCGCGGATGGAAAGTCATTTAGTCAAGTTGTTAAAGCAGCAAAAAGCTTAGGATACACAGAACCAGGTTCGAGTTAATATCTTCTTAATTTTTATTTTCTTGATTTGCAATGTTAACTTTCTATCTCATGTTAAGATAGAATGAACACACAAATATCACTTTGCGACTTCTTTTCATTGTAAACATATTATTTTGTATTTAAGGAGACGTTAGAATTGCTCTTTGGCTGTGCCGTTTTAAGTTGTTACGTTCTACTTGGAAATCAGTTCATGTTCTTTCTACTGTTCTTTCTTATTCAAGTTTATGTGTAGGTTATAGGGAGCATATTCTCTAATAGTTATTACTCTTTGTGTTAACAGATCCACGTGATGACCTCAGCGGGATGGATGTAGCCAGAAAGGTCTACAAGAACGTTTTTCCTTTTTCTTCAATGCTAACTGAATATATGAATTGTACATGCGCATACCTAGTATAAATGTAAAGTTGTATCACATTTACGTATTCTCCACTAACTACTCCTCTAGGACCTCTACCTAGCCCGCATGCAAATGCACTTGTTTTCACATACGTAAAAGGAGAAAAGGAAGCAAGAGGAGAAATATATATTCCAGACTTTTTTTAAAGTTTTAGGTGTTAGTCTACCCTGTGCAAATAATGTTTAAATATAGCTTCATATTTCTACTATATGAGAAAGTGGCTCATATTATGGTATTAGCATCCAACTTATAAGTGTGGATCTGGATATATGATAATTAATAAGTATGACATGACACAACATGTTACATGAAAATTGCCTAAAAAGGGAATAGATATATGGCAAGATGAGACTGAAATGCATATATAATATAAAGAGAGTTCATACATCAATATCTAGACATGTCAATGCACCCAAAATTCTTGATAATTATTGTCATAATACAAACATACACAGATACACTGCTTTATATGCTTAAAAACATTGATCTACTATACGTCTTTATGACCACGAAAGGAATCAGTGGCGGAGTCAGGAATTTTACTAATTAAACATGATAACTTATAACATTTTTGCACATCTGATTAATATCTAAACATCATTACATCATGAGTTTATTCTGGTTTTACTCCTAAAGTCATATATTTTGTGAGTATTTCTCTGTTAATTTTGAATGCTTGTAACTAGAGTCCTCTACTTTGTGCACTTATTAAATTTAAACAATAATACTTTGGTCTCATGAATAAGATGTCTTCAAAGTATGGGACTAAGTAAAAATGTAAAATGACATAGCGATAGGCTACAATAACACAAGAGGATCCAAATTTTCTCAAACTCAATCACAGTTATAAGTAGCGGTAAATAGCCTCATAATAGCGGCGCTAATAGCGTTAGCGGTTCCTTCCCGCTACACTATCGCCCAATAGCAATGACATATTGCGGAATATACGCTTTCCGTTCGCAAAAACGGCCAATAGCGAGCCCTAACGGTAAATAGCGGGCGATTGCGTGCAAAATCCGATTTTTTGACTGCTATTTAAAAGGGGTTTGGGGTTTATTTTTTTAAAATTAAACCCGACCTTTAACCACTGCATTCCACCGCCTTCCGTGATTTTCAGCGTGCTCCCACCGCCTCTCATAGCCTCTGGCACCTAACTCAATACTTCCTCTCACCTCCTTCACCGTGAGCTCTAGGCAGTCTTCTCACCGCTCAACTCATCTTTTCGAAGACGACAACTCTTTGACTTCTCCTCCAGTCGTCTTTGGTATTATGTGACAATTACATGTCTATTTCATGTTTAGGATCTCTTTGAATCATCAAATATGCACTTTTAGATTTTTTAGATTTTTTAGATTTTTCAGATTTTTCTTTAATTTTTTTTAGTATTTACACATATCTAAATTAGACCGCTATTTGATTTTGCGCTTTTTATTGCTATTTTACCGCAATAGTCCCAAATAGCCTTAGCGATGCCTTACCGTTACGCGACACTATCCACTATCGATAACCTTGAACTCAGTATCTATACTATGCAATTAATACTAAAGTCATCTCCTAAAAATGCCATGATCTCTCACAATCATCCCCTAAAGCTAAAAATGCGATGATTTCTTACCTTACAATAATATCCTTATGCTAACTTTTGATTGTTGACAAGTTATTTGTCCCATACTATTGTTACCTGGGTACTTCTATTAGGAAGTCATACCCGTACCCGACACGTACCCATATCCATATCCAAATCTCTTGGACACTTCTTGGATATATGCATATGTTTATTCGGGTATGTACTCCATTATATAATGCATGTTTTAATTTAAACAACTTCTCATATACTTCTTGGATGTATATTCTACACTTCACATCTAATTCTTATATGTTGATCTTATGCAAATGAAAAAACAATATTAATCTTATGTAAATTATTAATTTTAATACATATAAATATATATAACATGCATATATAAAGCCGTGTCCCCGTACCCAACCTTTTACAAATTGCCGTGTCCCGTATGTGTACCAGTACCCATACCCGTACTCATGCAGCCTAGGTCCCTTACAATAACAAAATAATAGCCATAGTGGAATCCATCTTGCGAAAACAATACTATGCACAAATTTAGTCTCTATACTATGCAAATAGTACACCCCAATACCCCCTGTAATTTTTTCATATTCCAAGAGGGTCCATGGACCCCTTAGACCCTACTTGGCTCCACCCTTGAAAGGGATACATCTTGTTTCTTCAATTATTTATAGAATGCTAGATATGTCAATATTTATCATGTATACAAGGAAACAGTTTGATCCCCTTTTTTCACTGAATGGATATTTGAGAGTAAATATGCATGAGACATGGAGAAGTGTGACAAGTGTCCAACAAATGATCTATAAATTAAGACATAAATTATATGGTTGACGAAATATTTGAGAAGCATCTGTCATTTATCCGAGAAGCATTAACGAATTGTTGGTGACTTTGTGTTCTACATGAGTATCTGGGTATTCAGCATGGGTACAACTTCATACTAGAAGTATCCATGCTACATATGCAGCTAGGTTCCTCTGATATGTTAATGAGATATAGATTATATTTATGACTCAATACCTCTATGTATATATATAAAATTTTGAAAACCTAGGATATTGACACCTCGTGAATATGAAGATAGAAAAGATCATGTGAAAATAATGTTATATATTTGTAACATGGATTTGTAAGTATACAATGGTTGAACAGTTACACTAACAAATAATATAAAAGATACCCAAGTTAACAAAGCGGACTAGCAATATAGGATGCATCTAGTAATCAAGTAATTGTGAACCTTTCATGATTTATAACTGTTCAGACTTGGATACATCTCTAAATGTCTTTGTTATGTTTGGGGCACATTATAAGACATAAGTTTCTAGATATTTTATAGAAGTATTTGACAAGTATTCACCAAATATCCAAGTATAGGATATGTATCGTGTACATCTACGTCTTATTGAACTACTATATGTTAGCAATATATTAAAATATAGTTGAATTTTATGGGCTTTAGCCCATGAATGATTTTGTGGAATTGGCTACCTTCATTAACATCCTTATTGTTTATGTGGAAACAGGGATTGATCCTTTCTCGGCTTCTTGGACACAAGATCGAGATGTCTGATATAAAGGTAACATTTTGTGACTTTTGGCTTCTATTGTACTGATATTTAGTGAGATAAAAATCTGTTGGGATTCCAGAAGCCATTTAAAATCATGCTTTGCAACATCATGTACAGTTTCATCATTCAATAAAATATTTTTCTGGAAAAGGGAAATATAAAGACTAAAAACTACATAAATTTGTTCTTTTTTAACAGGTGGAGAGTTTGTATCCTGATGAATTGGGACCTAACTCAATGTCCACGGAGGACTTCATCAGCAAAGGTCTTCCATCTCTTGACAAAGACATTAGTGAAAGAGTGAAAGGGGCTTCTGCTAAAGGAAATGTTCTTCGTTATGTTTGTGTGATTGACTATTCAAGGTACTTCTGTTGTTAAATTGGTAATGATGGTTTCAAGTAGTGCTACAAATATATAGGGATCAATTTCTTCCTTGACTTCAGTTTTTAGCTTGATCGTATAAGATTTCTGTGATTAATCATTAATTACATTTGTGTTTTCATCATTAAATGGTAAACACTCATTTCTAAGCATAATTGGCTCAAATCTTGGTGCAGAGTAGTTGAGAATAGAACAAATACATTTTTGGAGGTCAGGCTCCCAGTGTTTGTTTAAAAGAGAGTGAACAAAATCTTGTATTTTTATTAAAATACATCTATTTGGTGAATGTAAGGAGAAACACACATTTCAGAAGTTGAATGTCCAGAAAAGTGTCTTTAAAAGGCTGAATGGCAATTTTCCAAGAGGGGAGTAAGTGTAATGGTTCAATGTGATCAAGTTCAGATGAATCTCAGAGAAAAAGATATGAGTGTTAACTTTAGTGACTAAAAACAAGACCACCTTTGGAGATAGGACTGCTAGTATAATAGAATTTTGGAGATAGGATGATATGATACCGAAATTTGTGGAATGTACATCCTAATATTGTGATGTTCGCGATTTGGCACATATTGTGCCTTGGTGGCTGAATTTAGTAAAGTAATCAACAAGACCACCTTTCCTATGCCATGGATTCCTAGTGCAATGGATTTAATAATGCTCCTTGGTTGTCACTTGCCAGTTTTGTGAACGTGGAAGATGGACCACAGGTGGTCCGGTGGACCACCAAGTTGATAACCATTCTTTTTGAGTCTTGGCCAATTCTTGTATGGAACTTTGTGACATTGGATTGTGCTATAGTAAACTTCAAGATTGATGATAACTTCAAGGTGGTTGTGTGAATCCAGGTCTTATCCCATTTTGTAGAGCGTTATTTCCTCCTGTATCCCATCCCATCTTAGTACTGAGTTACTTACTTCTTTCTGCCCTTTTGTTTATTATGGTGCTTGCATGAACTCACCAAAATTTGACATACAATGTTGCTGTCTGCTTTAATATATGTTTTCTGGTTAGTTTCCAAAGTGCATTATTCATTAATAGTTAACTTATAATTTTTTAAAAATTTTTTTAACTTGCATATTGCTTTATTACCGGTGCCAGGTTGGACTACAAGAGATTCCAAAAGATTCTCCCCTTGGAAGATTGAGAGGAAGCGACAATGTGGTAAGACTTACTTTCCTTTTGAATGCTATTCATCTTAGGGGTCTTAATTAATCAAATTCAATATAATGAAAGTTCACAAGTTCTTTTTATGGTTTCTTCTACTGCAATAATTTTGATATAGCATAGATATTTCCGATGTCTGAAATGATGAACAAAAATATTTTTGACTACTAATTTAGTGTCTGGGTGCCAAAACAGCAATCACTCTACTTTGTGACTTATTTTTAATATTGTGCCACCAGTTTATCATGTCCATGTCCTCGTTGAACCTCTGTAAGTTAGTTAAAAAAAACACTTCCTTTCCTCGTGATTGTGATATTTCTTTCTTGAAATAATATTTCTTATTTATAAAAATTTGTAATGAGCTGTCTGGGAAAATGTCTTTTTACACTTTTTGATTCCAACATATAAACCTCATGATAACTCTTTATGTTGGAATGTGAAATTGTTGTGAGGAATATTACGGGTTTAAATTCTTCTTAGAAGGGGCAAAGCTATTTAGTATGTCAATATGATAGCTTGTACTGCCAATGGAACTATCTTTATTCCACTCTTCTCTTGATAGCAAAAACTTTTTTGGTCAATGAAGTAAAAATTTCATTCACGTTAAGCATTCAGTACAGACAACCAACTCAGGCATACCTGAGCATTCTACAAAACTCTGACATAAGGATGTACACTCACATGATACGTATATAAATTATATAAATCCTCATGAACTCTGTACAGCAAATCCAGACAACTAAAGACAGGGACAACTAATTGCAGAGACTGCATCCAAAAGTTGCAGGGATAGGTTTGCTATGTATAACAGTTAGAAAATTAGATGATGATCCTCAGTTGGGTGGGAGCAAAGAACACAAGAGGAAATAGAAACAATACCCATATGTTGGGGATTATGGAGCACATAAACAACCACACACAACAAGAAAGAGCAAGTAAGAAGACAACTCGTACAAGTTGTCTATGTCCACAGTTCCTCATCAGACAACTCATGCAAGTAAGAGTTTTTACATGGTTCAGCAAACATGCCTATGTCCACAGTCCCTCATCAGAAAAATCCACCGTCTTCACAAACCAATACAACTCATACAAGTGATACAAGTTTTGCACAAACGGAATTTGAAAACCCTCGCACATTGATACAAGTTTTGCACAAACGAAACTTGAAAACCCATGTACATCTCACATCTCTCAATGAATCCGAGAACACCAATCACTCGAGATCCGAGAGGCTACCATCACAGTACATCACTTAAAGGAACCAACAAAGTTCTAAGAAGATCCTCCCCCTTCAGAAGGGGATGATGTTCTCAACACTAGCACATTCCTTTTTATAGCCTTCCTCCTATGCTATTTCCAAGGGCAAATCGATGTACATAATTACAGTGGACAATTTCCAAGAGAAACCCTTCAAACTTACCATGCATGCACCCTTCAAGCTTTCATGGTTAACACGCATTCATCCATCTCATTTTGAGATTTGGGTGGCATCCCAACACCATATCACACAATCTATCTAGAGTAAGTAATCTCTATCGAACAGCTAACCACAAAATAAAAGAATGCTTAGGATATTGAGCTTATTCCAAACAGTTTAATAGCAATCTACCAGGGTAGCACGGTAATATAAGGTAATGATGTCCTCAACTTACTTCCCTTAATCCAAAATTCAATTTCAGCAAGACATCATTATAAGCTAATGATGTCCTGAATGCACTTTCCTTCATCCAAAAATTTTATCCCTGGCCTTCTGAATTATCTGACCTTCAGCATTTGAAAAGTATAGAACCTTTTCTTTTATATGTTAAAGAGTTTGTGTATGATATTTATGTAGGGTGTTTTATGTTTCTGTTCAAATTGTAGGTGGAAATATACAGCAGATGTTACAAGGATTCACCTTTTGTGATTCAAGGAGCAGGAGCAGGCAATGATACTACAGCTGCTGGAGTTCTTGCTGATATCATTGATCTCCAGGATCTTTTCTAGTTTTATTCATGTATCATGAGTGAGTCAGATGAGATTTATAAATCTCCTTGTGCACGTATCGTAAGGAACAAAATATCACTATTGTAGTTTTGTGTTTTTAATGTGGCTGCATATTCGTATTGTATCCAAAAGATGTCCGAAACTTTCTGGAAAATTCAATAAGCATTCCTTCATTTTGATGTTTTACTTAGCTTATCGTAGAAGATCGTTCCTTCTCCTTTTCTTTTTTTTTTTGCCTCTCTTTTCTCTCTCACTTATTTATACCATCCTCTCAAAACTCTTCGAACTCTCGAGGTTAATCCAGTATTTGGACTGTGGCAGCCTTGGGGAAGGAAGAAGATGGAGATTAGAAATTATAAATGGGTGGTCGTCTAACGAAGGCCTCTTGCAATATTTCATGCTAGCGAGCATGCCCCGCGTGATGTGCGTGGAGAAGGGAGAATTCAAGATATATACAATCAAATTGATGATATCTACTTAGATAATCACAATTGCTTAAAATCGGATTGATTTCGACTCCGAAATAAGACCCAACGTGACAGCACTCTGTTTAGCAAGAGAAACCGGAGGGAACAATAAACTAATACATTATTAGTTTACCTTATTAGCAGTATAAATGACATGCCTTCCTAAAGAACCTATTACATGCTATAAAATGTCATAAGCCTGAGCCTACAACATAGATTATAGGTCATGATATTGGCAACATGAATGTGAGATGGATTTTAGAAGCATGCTAAGCCTATCAAACTTTACAGAGAAAATGATTGATCATAACTCCATGTTTCAAGGCGTTATAACCAAAATCTCCGGATAGTCTCCAGCTTATAAAAATAACTTTTTAAAGTGCACAACCCCTTAATAATGGCTCATATCCTCTCCCTCTCCCTCTATTCGGCA